GACATTCGATTTGTTGGTAGATGTCTTGCTATAGATAAAAATTTCAGTAATATGACTAAAACCCTAAATGGAAGGCGAAAGGGCCCAAATCCTCTTGAGGTTTTTTATACCTCACTGAGGTCTATCTATCGCCAAAAGATGGGGCTTAACGGGCTTTTACACCTGGGGAGGTTCCCTCGTTAGAGAGGTGATCTACATTTGAATAATTCTAATTGTATAATAACTTTAATTGCAGCCAGCACGACCACGACAGACAACGTCTGCCTGAGTGGTGTTCTGTTCTCATATGAATTACTTAGTTTGAACATAAACCGCACTCTTCCTTGGACCCACTATACATTTAATTACACAGTAACTAATGTCACTTCGGCCACGCTCACTTTCGCACTTCGCGACGATCCGCTTGACTGGTATCTCGATGACGTTTCCGTGATCAGCAGTACAGGAATGCAGTTATTATCGAATGGAGGATTTGAAACGGGTGACCTATCATACTGGGCCTATTGCAACCCGTCTCATGCCCATCACCCTGGCTTCGTCACCTCATCTGACTATGTGTCAGGTTGGTATTCGTACGTAGACGGATCAGTGGGATCTAGCGACTACTTGAGTCAAACATTTAATGTCACGCCGCTAACTTTAATCACTGGGAGTTTTTGGCTTCAGGCAACTGGGACTTATTCACAGTTTGCTGTTGTCACAATTTCCAATTGAACTACAGAGAAAGACTAATAGTAACTTTATTCCTCTGAAACGAACTCTATTTTCATATAAAGACATATGAACTCAACGCTTGATGATATTTGTGATCGTATCCATTTATTATTCTCAAAATGATTTTCATAATTTTGGATTGCTCGTAAGACAATTTGTTGTACAACGCAGATTCTCCACTGAATAGACAATGAGTGAATAACTCTGCTATGTTTTTATACGAAAAAGTGTTTCACGTAAGAAGAGCATATAAAATAAATGACCTATTAATTGTGGCGTGTGAATACGGGTGTTCTACTTCACTCAGACTCACACCTTCTTCAATATTTTGAAATTTCTATTTTGTTTTTTTTTAACGTTATGTCTAAATTACTCTTTAATGGATAGTCTTTGACAAGGTTTATAATTTTTTATTAGTAATAAACAACATAGACTAAGTGAGGAATAATAACCAAACAAAGAGCAAAAAGAAACAAATATTGTATTATTTTCTTCGTTTTTCCATTGACTGTTTAGCTTTAAGTTGCATATAAAGTTTTTCAATATCTTCAGCTTCTCGATCAATAACAAGAGATGTATTTTTCTTTGCTGATGATGAAACTCTATGTTGTTGTTGTTCTTGACTTATTGAGGAAGATGCAACAGTTGATGGTAATGTTTTTCGTTGTAAGAACGATTGATTTGCTTTTGATGAATGATCATTGGAATGAGATCGATCCAGTGTTGAAACAATACTTTCACGTACAAGACTAAATTAAGTAATAATAGGAAAAAGGTTTCTATACTGACCTATTTCCATTCTTATTATTTTCATTGATAATTGATTGTTTTCCTTTTGAACTATTCTCTTGAGATGATACAGGCATAGAACTTGACAAATAAAAACAAGAAAATAAATATGAAACTATTCTCTCTTTAATTTGAAAACACACTTTTTTTGAGTAGTAGTCGATACATCACTAAAATTGAAAAGAATTAATTTTTAATAAAATATTATTATTTTTAATTTATACTTTTCAGTAATATCAATCACAGGTATTGACTTCGATTTTTTCTTTTCATTTGTATGCGATGTTGATGATGATGATGAAATTGTTGTTAAAGAATTACTTGTAGAAGAAGTACTTGATGATGATGATGAAGAACTTGTTCGACTACTACTACTACTACTGCTGCTGCTGATACTTGTAGTAGAACTTGATCGTTTCCGTTTTAATCCATTGTCAATCAACGATGAACTCAAAAGAATGTCGATGGGATGCCAAGAAGAAATTATTATTTGCCAATGTTCTCACCCTTTTAATGATGATCTTCGTCTTTTTGGAGATCTTGCCGATCGTCTTTCTTTGAAATTCCTACTTAGAAAATAACAATAGAACATTATCATATCAAACAACGAAACATACGACTGTAGATTCGATGGTATACTTGGTCCATATTCCAATTTTCGTGTTGCTTCTTTTTTCTTATTATTTCAAAAAAAAGACGAAATTTCTATTTCTTCAATAATATTCAATATTTAACTTTACTTTTGTTCGTAACATATCTAATTTTCGTTTTGTTTCATTATCATCTGGTTTATATTTCAATGCTTTTTCAAGATAATGAATTGCATCATCATAATCATCCGTACTTAAAAAGAAAAATTTTGTTTTTCTATTAAATATACTTCAACTTACTCATTAGCTATATTATTCAATACATCGTGTAAATATTTTGATGCATTTGAATGTTTATGATCAATTTTTAAAGCTTCTTCAAAGTCTTGCATAGCTCGTTTATAATGTCCTTGATTTGCTGATAATGCACCGCGTGCTACAAATGCATCAACACATTTTGGATCTGTTGCTAAAGCTTTATTAAAATGAAGTACAGCTGAACTTGAATCATTCTCTTTCATTAATCGTACTCCGGCAGCAACACTAAAAATATACATGAGTAATTATATCAATCAAAAAATAATATCATTTGTCTACCTTTCAATTGCCCATTCATGATCTTGTTTATGACGTAGTTTATCAAAATATTCATCTGATGAAATTTGTTTTCTATTTATAGAAAAAAAAAAGTTTTTTTTTCGAAATTATTTCAAAGTAATTAATATACCGTTTAAATGAATTAATTAATGACATATGTAATATATCATTAGATGATCGAGTACCAGTATTATTATTATTTTCTGAAGGAAAATGTTCAAATCGTTTTTTCAATTGTTGATAAAGTGTTTGAACACAAGCACGATTATTCAATGCTTTTGATGTTTGAAGTATATCTTCATAAGATTGACTTTGTTCTTCTTGTCGACGTAATAAACTAAACAAAACCATAGAACATATATATAGAGAAGATTATTTTTTTCTCTTTACATATAATGTGTTGGTAAATCATCTTCATTGATAAGACCCTATAAGAAAAAGGAAATAAGACGTTTAAAAAAGGAAATAAGACGTTTAAAAAATGAATTGATATATTCAATAGTTACTAGTTTTTTTGTAGATTGAGACCATTCTAGTGAAACAATAGAATTAAAAACAAAAAAAAGATTTATTTTAAACATACGATTTGTAGATGGATCAATTGTTAATTGAAGTTCTTCTTTAGTTAAATCAATATGATTTACACATGCTGAATACGAAATTAGAAAAAAAATATACTTAAATAAAAGTATTTGAATAATTTACCTCGTATAAAATCACCACTTTGATATTCTCCATCATCATTATCTTCATCACTTACTTCTTCTTTACCTCGATCATATCGATTTTTTTTATGATGATTATAATTTTTATTACTTGATGTGTTCAATAAACAAGTTGCCTAGATTGAAATTATATTATTTATGAGTAAATAACTAATTATAAAATTTGTCTTACAGTAAGTTTAAGATCATGTAATGCTCGTCGATGTCCATCATCGAAACATAAAATACGTACAAGCATATCACGTGAACTAGCCGTTAGAACATTACAAATAAGAAGATGACCAGGACGTATTAACTAGAAAAATAATCTTGAATCAATATAATGAAGAAAATAAATGAGATTACTTTGAAAAATTGTTCACGACAAAGTCGAGATGAAACATGAAGAAAATATTCAATTGGAGGAGTTATAACAAAAAGATCTAATATAATATATAAAAATAGATATTATTTATTATAAAGAAAGATTTAAGTTACTAACTTGGATCTTCATCTTCAATATCAATGTGCGATGAAGAAAATCTATTTAATCGAGGACGATGTATATCTATTGTAGAATCTGTAGGAAAAAGTGTTGATGAATGTTGATCGATAAATTCTTGAACACAATCATTAAGAGATTTCATTGTACGAAATAATAGTTGAACAAATATATTCAAATAAAGAAAATGGAAAAACACATCGATCGATAAATAACAATAGATGATAGATACATATGATTCAATGTACTTTCTCTTCTTATAGGACAAATAAATCGATCCAATAAGATATTTAAATACTGATTCATAACAGTACTCAGCGACATCTAATTATCAATATTATTATAAATGTACAAAAAGATTCTTAGAAAATAATTATAGAATATAAAAGAATGAATTGTTTTGAATAATTATAATTTACTTTGTACTAAAACTAATTCGAATTGAATTGAATAATCATTGCATAATGATAATGAACTTATTGTAAATAATTTATTCTAATTTCTAAATGATCGTGGTATGTGTTACTTTCCATTAATGAAACAATTATCTTTGCCATCAAACATTACATTTCATTCTATGGATTCAACAACAGGACATTTAGAAAAAAAATTGTTTGAATGATATACGAAATCATTTATATAAGAAGTAAACTATGTCTTATTTGGTGATGTAGTTAAATATAAACTTTCTTTTTCAATCAAAAGTTATTCTGCTTTAATCGAATAATTGATAATATCTGACGAATGAGATCACGAGAAAAAATAGTTTACTGAAATTAAAATTATAACTTTAAATGTTGTTAAACGCGCCATGGTATAATCTTTGTATAATACACACCTATAGTATTACCTAGGTATCTTTGCTTCTATTTAATTCATAAATTATTTAAATTGAATATGATAAAGGCATCTTGAGGGTGGGGTGTGGGTGTGGGTATATCTATCTTCTCTTAATCCACATCCACACCCACATTCACAACCTCACTCTCAATCATCGAAAATATAGATGAGTGTGAACAAAATATTCATATGCATACATTCATGATTTTTTTGCACCATAAATTAAGCAACATTCGGGATCTTACTTAAATTAATGTCTCAATGTTTTAAAATCATATAATGTTACAATAGCCACACAGGGTGCAGATGTGAGTGTCGGTATGATGAAAGAGAGGATGTGCCTACATACACCCACACTTAAGATTCTTTGATAACATATTGAAGTTTATATCCATTTATATAGTTTTTACTTTTATACACGCATATTTTTATTCTATTATCACGAGCAGATACATTAAAATTATATAAAAAGTCAAAATAATCATAGATTCAAATAGGTACTTTATTCTATAAAGATTGTTGATATTAGTGAAGAATGAGAAATTAAATTTCCTACATAATTGAATATACATTAAATGTGTTCTTTTGATTATTCTACAGAAAAATATATTTATATTTATCCGTACTTTTAAATAAACTAGATGCTTTCGTATTCATTCAATTCTGACCGTTTTTTTTTGTAAGTTTGTTTATATTCAATAAACGACAATGACAACATGATAAAGACCAAACACATAATTAATACAAAAACAGAAAGTATATATATCTACATATAGAGACAATAAAACAAAAGTATTTTTTTAAATGTCACTTCGCCATAATTTTATTGTTTTATCGTTTTCTAATGCTCCACTAGCAATTATATTTTCTTTTGGATGACATGCACAACACATAACAACATCACTATGTCCTTCAAGTTTTTGAACAATTTCTTTTGTTTGTAAATTCCATAGATAAACACAATTATCTTCCGAACCACATACAATCCATTTTGAACCAGTAACAGAAAAATTTGCAAATAAACAATATTTTTCATTTTTATGTCCAGTATATAATTTTAATGATTTTCCTTTGGAATAATCCCATAATTTCAATGTATTATCAAGTGTTGCTGCTAGAATATATTTTCCATTTGGAGAAAATTTAACAAAACTAACTGGAGGATTATCATCATCAATTAATGTTTTTAAACACATGCCAGATGATGTATCCCATATACGACAAAGACCATCATAAGATGATGATACAATCATTGTACCATCTCGACTATTATTTAAAAAAGTAAAAAAATATATATATTAAGAAATAATTCATCTTTTCTTTACCTAAAATGTACAGCTGTTACAGGATCACTATGTGCTGGTAATGTACGTAAACATTTACTTGATCTAACATCCCAAATTTTAACACTTTCATCAAATGAACCACTAACAATTAAATTTGATTGTGGATTAAAATCACAACAAAAAACATAATTTGTATGACCTTTTAATGTTTTTAAACATTTCGCTTTAGCAACATCCCAAATTTTTAATGTTTTATCATCACTAGCACTAACTAAATATCGACTATCGGATGACCATGCTAAATCAGATATACCTAATTTATGTCCACTAATTGTTTTTTCCCATTTGCCATCATGAGCACCCCATAATTTAATAGTTTTATCAGCTGAACCTGATGCAAGTAATTCACCTGATGGAGAAAATTTTAATGATGATACAGCTTTTAAATGACCAGTAAGAGTAAATTTAAGTGTATAATTAGGTTTCAAGTCTTTTTGATTCGATTTTGATGTATTATTAGTTGTTGTTGTTGTTGCTGTTGTATTGGTATTCGTACTCGTCGCAGACATCCCATTAGAAGTATTTGATGGTACTGATGAACGACTTTTATCATCAGTCATCTTTTAGATTATATCTAGAAAAAGTCATAAGAAATGAATAATCATAAGAAATTTGTTAATTCTCTTGTTCAACAGTGTATTTTTTTTTTATATATTTACAAACGAAAAGAAAAATAATAATAATAATAAAGAATGGACTAGATATTCATACGTTGACGTCGTGTAAATTCAAGACTTTTAGCCTGATTCCAATGAGTTTGTGTTAAAATATTTTCACCATGAGATAAAGTTTCTAATCTAAAAACGAAAATATTTTAAATAATAAATTCTCTCTCTCTCTCAAAATTTATTACCTAGCAAGTACAAGTAATAAATGAAAATCATCAAGATTTGTTAATAATTTTTGTTTACGCATATTAACAAAATCTTCTTGTATATATGTATTTATATCTGACGATGTATCATTAATTGTTTGATCAAGTTCAAGTTGTTGACTAATATATGTTAAATATCGACGTATATGATCGATTTGTTCTTTTGTAAAATGTGGAAATGTTATTTGATTTATTTCTTGTTCAGATTCATAACGAACATAAACATCACAGGGTAAAATTGATTTGGTCGATGAAATAACTAAACATCGTATATCACATTCATAATCAAGTTGATAAATATGAAATTCATATTTTAATGTTTGTTGACGAAGAAGTTCTTGAAGTAGTTTTATATTATTGAGACCTAAAAAAAATAAAATTTAAGAATTATCACTCCAAACCAGGGTGTGGGTGTGGGTGGGTGAGGGGGCGTGTAAGTGTGGATGTATAGCAGTGGCGGATCTAGGATTTTGGAAGGGGGGGAGGCGATTTTGGCTAAAAGCTATTTTTTGAGTCCAACTGAAGTAGTGTGAACCTATTTTTTCGTACATTTTTGCTGTAAAAAATCAAAAAACAATTCGGAAGGGGGGGATGATCGCCACCTCCCCCCTAAATCCGCCACTGATGTATAGGTATGGACTACTTTTCTTCTACACCCACACCCTGAAAGAACAAAGATATCCTCTGGATTAATTACCAAGTGTTGTTAATTGTCCACATTCCATTTTAGTTTCATCGATGAGTAAATGTGAATTAAATGGAAGTTGTAATGGTGTTTGCATTAATTGATTTTCATTGTCATCTTCTTTCGTAACATTTTTATTTGGCATTAATTGCATTGCATTTAATTTACTAATTGTAATAGAAAGACTTGAATGAAGTGATAAAATTGTTTGAAGTAATTGTTCAAGTGAATTGAATTGTTCAGTTGATATATGAGATAGATTTAATGATAATTTACCATAAGCTGATGATGGTTGACGAACATATGTACGTGAAATAAGATGTAATAATAAATATTCACAAAGAAGTTTATCATTTGGAAAAATAGACTCAAATAATGAAAGAATATATTGACGAGATATTGAAACTAAAACAGAAAAGAAGATTGTTACATAATTAAAGAAAATAATAAAAATACTTTGATCTAATTCAATAGTTGGTTGATGATGTAAAAGTGGATTAATATGAGCTAATTTTTTATATTGAATACAATGAATAGTTTTTATTGGTGGCATTTGCTCTTGATCCATTTCATCACTGGGGAAAAAAAGAAGAATGAGATTAATGTATTTCAATGCACGTTATTTACTTTGTTGGAATATTATCAGCTTTAACAACACCATGATCATAATAAATTCCAATAAATTCAACCATTGTATTAAGTAAAATTTCTTCAGTCGTGTCATAAACCTAATATGAAAATATTTTTTATAGAAAATAATTTTCCTTTAATAAATACTTTAACGATATATCCTGATTTTGCGATTGGTTTGACTGATTCTGCTTTTGCTGTTGTATCACTGTTATCATTATTTGTTTCTGTTGTTGTTTTCAATCGTTTCATAGGTGATAACAATTCTTGAATATTATCATGATTATCAATAGATCTAAGTATGACATAAAAAATATTTAAATATTTTTTATACAATTCCTTTACCTCTTATGCATTGTAAATTCTTCACCAAAATAATGTCGATAAGCATCTTTAACCCATTGAGTTTCATTTGGAACTGGAATACATAAGAAACATTGACGTGAACTAAATTTTTCTCGTGGTGGTTCTTGTTCAACAACACTATATCCAGGCTAAATAATAAATATGTCTCTATAAAATAGTTCACTACATAAAACTTTTACTCACTGGACATACGAATAAATCTGTATATTTAGCTGATTTTTCAATTTCAGTTTGTTGATAATCATTCGAACGAACTTTATAGTTAGCTACAAAATAAAATCGTTTATTTTCAATAATTTAAAGATTTATTTCGGAATATCTTACTACAATAAATTTCATCATCCGCCATATCTTGTATCATAGCTCGATAACGTACGAGACAACCTGATGGTAATGGATGTTCATCATCTCGATCATTCAATGATGGAATTTCTTTATAAAAAGTTGGATTATCAATATTTGTTTGAAAATAATTTCGTACATCATTTTCAAATGTATCTGGTGATTTTTCTAAAGAAATATTTTATTTGAAAATTTTACCGGAAATAAAAATTCTGTTTTTTACCATGCAACCGATTAATAATTGTCATCGGATGCGTTATCCAGTCTTCGATGAAAGGCATATCTACAAAGATTGATAAATGAAAGAAAGAAAGAAAGCGAAATTCAATAGTTTAAAGTTCTTGTTTAATAAAACTGGAAAAGAAAACATGTTTTTTTTTTGTTTAACAATAAGCGTTTATAAGTTTAGTTCATTTTTTCTATGGTTTAATCTTTGCGTAATGCATGAACATCAGTTTCAATTCCTTTATCTTTTGTTAATACATGAATAACAACACCATCACCAAGTTCAACATGACGTTCACAACCAGCCATATAAATATCTTTTACCATTTTAACGATTTCTTCTTTTGTACGTTTAACGGGGCCTGGCTTAGTTGAATTTTTACCAAGCATCTAAATGAATAAATTTAGAAACGAAAAGACCAAAAACAAACTTACGTATGAATCAAGAATTGGTAAAAGAAGTGGCATAGCACTACCCTCGCACGTATAACGTTCTGGTGTCATTGAACCAACTGGATCAAAACCAAAAATACATCCTTTACCCTCACTATCCAAACCAGCGACAGCTGTATTTGTATAATAAGGAAAAAATCGTCGACCATACATCATAATAGAAATCATTTGAGCTAATGCAGGTGTTGAGATTGGTTTATTATGTGTATATTCATATGACTGAACAAAATTTCAAATAGAATTTTGCTTAATTTTTATTGTATAAACTCACCTTAATACGACCTTCAAGTGTTTTCTTAAGTGTAAGTACATCACCAAGAAATCCTGTTGATAAAAGTAATGAATTGTTATGCCTAAAACAGATATTCTATTTTCTGTTTATATATTTATTTTTCTATGCATACATTTTATACACATTGCTATGTGTACGAGATAAAATTGAATAATTTTCTGTCAAACGTGTATCACTTGCAACAACAACATAATCATCACCAGCAATGGCAACTGTTGTACTATAAATACAAAAAATGAATGAAATTTTGTTTTTGTAAAGAAAATTATTTTACCCTGATTGAAATTCGTATGGATACCAACCGTGTTGTTTAACCATTTTATTGTTTTTTCGTTATTTATTAAATAAAAACAGAGAAAAGAAAGCCTATTGATCTGAAAAAAAAGTCGTTTTCTTTGAAATAGTAAAGTATTAGAGGAATATTTAGAGATAATGCAAGTTATTAAAAAGAAATATAATGATCACAAAAAATTCTGTTTTATAATTTACAGAGAACTGGTATGTCAATTTTTTCATACGATTGTGCAAGTGGATAACATGGCATTTTACTTTTCCATACATGAACATTGTCAATCCATTCGGCCTAGAAACAAATAGATATGTCAACAAGTATTAATTAATAATAATCGATTTACTTCTGGTAAATTAATTTGTTTTTCTGGTATAACTTTGTCTTTCGAGTCTTTATCAGTTATTGGATCAATAATAAGCGGTTGTTCAGTTAATTTAACTATAGGTTCAACAGCTGGTTCAATTATTGTTTCAGCATTGTCTTCATTAGTAGGTGAAGGTAATTCTTCGCTAGGAACAGCTGCTAATTCATTTTCTTCGTCAACAATAGATTTTTTATCATTTGTTCCTTGTAATGCGATTGCAGATGGATTAACATGGACAGATATTTTACGACGATGCATAGAATTTAATGCTATATAATGATCATAAAACTGAACTAAATCTTTAAGTTCCAAAGATTTGATTATTTCAACTTCGAGTTGAGCTAAATAAATTTTATTGATATTTAAAAAAATGGCTAAAATGTTTTTAGTAACTTACGTCGATCGAAGCAAAATTGATGATTGGTTATTTCATTCCAAAATTTATTTCCTTGGCTATGCATTTTCTTTGGAATTTCCACTTTTTTAACCATATAACCTTCGCGTTGTTTTTTAAATATATCATCAGACATATTCGAAATATAATCCTATTAAAATAAAAAGATTTTATGTAACTTTCTTTAAATAATTTCTTATTGAAAATCAAATATAGAAACATCTGAATACAATTATTCTTAATAATACCACATTAGGAAGAATCATAACAAAAAAGGTTGATATTAACTTACATTCGGAGCGTAACCAATAAATATTGATTTTTTTTTGTATCAGAGAATTAGCATAAAAAAGCATTAGATATTAGTTAGAAAACACTCCGATTAGTAAGTTATATTATCAGCCAAATTAATCAAAGCTATGTCTGTTTTGCACAACCAACGACAAATAATATTCATTTGTTTAATCATTCAATTCTCAAATTTTTCATCTTATGAATTTCTTTAAACGTCAGGGATCATGAAACATGCATTATTACAAGATGGAATAAAGTACAAACCATAATAAATATCACATAAGTGTGACTTTGTCGCGGTTTGTTTTTCAGAACTTCTCCTGTACGATATTTAGAATATTTTTCATTATTCATTTTCTACGTACTCTTATCGAATCAATGAATAATTCAATACGTTGATTAACATGATCAAGTTTTCTAGCCGATTGTACAATAACTCGAAAACCTTGTACACCACGTGACCGACGTGCACCAGAACTAACAACATAACCTAATTGTTCTTTTGTTCTTAATTGATCAAAACAGGGTTCATCAACAAAATGACAAAATAATTCAAGTAAAGCATTATTTTCAAGTGTTTGTGGAAAACATTGTAAATATATTTCAATAGCATGTAATTTATGAGCATCATTAAGCATTGTATATGCATAATTACAACCTAATAATACAAGTAAATAATATATTTATAAAATCAACTATATATATATATATAGAACTAACCTTCAGGTAATGTTAATTCACGTTGATTAAACCACATACCAGGAAAAAGTGGTTGATAGAAACGTTTTTCTTGAAATTTTTGTTCAATTAAACTCATGTATTCAAGTGCATGCTAGAAAAAATCAAAACTCAAGGTTATGATCAAATAGATAACTTACATCTTTTGTTAAATTTCCGTACATTAATGAATCCGTAAAAAAGCGAGTTAACATTCGTGTTATGAATGAATCTAGATCATGTGCTGTAATACCATCAATACAACTGAGTAATTCATCTTTATTCCATTGATGTTCAGCTGTTAAATATGTAACACCATAATGTGCCATTTGATAAGGAACATCGCGACGAAAATTTTGTAATGATCGTTTAACCTATCAGAAGAAATATTTCAATAAATTTTAATAAATTATTAATTCAATTACTTTTTCTCTCATTATTTCAAATCGTTGAGGATTGACTTTAATATTAACCATACGATCGATAATCGTTTCAAGTAATTGTTTGATTTTATGACTAAATCCATGTACAGTTAACTTAAAAATAAATATTTATGTCTTTCTACTAGAAGAAATTAATATTAATTTACCTGTATACCATAATTTAAAGCAGATAATTCATATTGTAATCCACCAAGTTGGGCTGGATAAACAATTTCAGTTAAAGAATCTTCAACTAATTCAACATAAAGTGCATTCATATTAGAATGAAGAGGATCTGCACTTCCCAATGGACTAAAATCACAAAATTTAACTTTTAAATAACAATAAGAAATTTCAATCTTACTTTCGTAATTCAAAATAAAGATAAGCTTTAGGTAATCGATAGAATGTATCTTCACCATAAAAAAGTCGACAAAATTCATTTTCCTTCAATACAAAAAGAAAATAAATATTTCAAAGTTATATTTTTTCGGTTTTACTTTTATTTTTATTGGTAATTGTGGTCGTGAGGTATGTTTTTCTTTTGAGAATAATTGAAAATCAGTTGGAATAAATTCATTTGGTTTTGGTAAATGAAGTTCAGGAATAAGTTCACATGTTTCACATTTTTTAATAAGTTCTTCAGGTAAATATTCTTGTTTATATTGTGTACCAAACCATTTTTCTGTTTCCGTTGCAATCGATGTAAATTCTTTACTTGCAAGAAATACTCTTAAATAAAAATTTTGAATAATTTTATCCAATTAAAATATATTTTTCTTTATTTACCGCATTTTACTTGGAATCAAATAGTCATTAAGCTCTTCAATTATTAAATCTGGACGAAATTCACGTGTTTCATAATCTCCAGAAAGACATTCAGTCAATGGATAATCCTAAAGATGAAAATTAAATATCACAAAACTGTTTCCATAAGTCAATCGATTAGACGTACCCTCATTCGACCCGCTAAATTTGAGACAAAATCATCTGGTCGTTCTTTTTCACGAAATTGAAAATGCATTGCGTTAAAATTCTAAATTCAAAACAAAAGCACAACATACATACTTCATGACTAATATCATCTTACTTTGCATTCATCGAAAATCCATTCTTTTGGTCCTTCTTTGCGCAACATAGCCATATATTGATAAACAATATAAATAATTTCCTCCCATCGACCTGTGTTCAAAGAAAAAGTTTTATTTATTGAATAAAATTATCGATTTTATTTTACTTAATCCTTCGATTGTTAATTCTAAATCGACAGTAAAAAAATTAAAACCAGGTGCGGCATTTTTTTCTCCAGATACCAATTCAGTAGCAAGGCCCATCTTTTTTAAATGTGACAATAATGAACCATCACCTTCATGTCCAATCAAGTGTGAAAGATATGATTCAGGCTGAATGAAATCGAGATATTCTTCAACATATGATGATTAAAATAAAATAAGAAATTGTTTTATACTTACATTACAATAATATAAATCTTTATGATCAGGTATAACCCAATTGATTGTTAAATGACGATGTTCTTTAACAGGAACAACATAACAAATTGTCTTAAAGAAAAAAAACGAGATATTGAATAAAAAAAGGAAATTTCGAAATTAAAAACTAACTTTTCGTTTAGTTTCACCATATGGATCTGCAGGATATTTAACTTGTTTTAATTTTTTATTTGGAATATCATTAAAACTTTTCATAACAAGTGATTGAAGTTCATCAAGTGATTCTAAATAATTAATTTGTGATATTTATTTTATTTTTAATAAATTAATCACATACGATTGCCAAGTATAGCTAAACTCATTCGATTTGATGAATATTGTGCTTTATGAAAATCCAAAAGTACTTGTCGAATATCAACACCACGTTGTTTAGGCGTTACTCTTAATGTTTCACTATTACCAATTGCAAATCCTGAATAGGGATGTTTAGGATCGGATGTTGATTTTTCTAATTGAGAAACACGCCATGCATCTTTTGATAAATTTCCTTCATATTCAGAATGAACTGCTTCTAATTCCCGATCGGTAGATGATGCAGAAAAAAGTGGTGAAATAAAAAATTGTGCAAAGCTAAAGTAGATAAACTTAATTTGATTAAATAAGGAAAAAATATTAATAAAACGTACACATCAAGTGCGTCGGGTAATAAACTTGGATTAATATCAAAATAATAATTTGTATGATCACCACTAGTAAAAGCATTAGAGTAGCCACCATTGCCTTCTATTAATTTTGAATATTCATTTTCACCTGGATACTACAAAATATTTCATATGATTATTTTCATTATTAAGAAATGTAAATAAAAAATTTACTTTTGAACTACCCATAAAAAGCATATGTTCACAAAAATGAGCAATACCAGGAACATCTCTTGGATCAGCTAAACTACCAATTGATACATCAAGTGCAGCAGCTGCTTTATCAATATTTGGATGACTTATCAGTACAACAAGCATCTCATTTGAAAGTTCTAACCCACGATAATTCCATGAGTCACTATCACTTTTTTTTATATTATCAACAATACGAACAATTGTTGAATCTACTGATGACATTTGTTTTTCAGATTCGATAGCCATGAAATGAAATTTTCAAATGAATAGACAAGTTATATCTCGGCGGGAAAGATGTAGATGTAGAAAGATGAAATGACTAAGTGACAATAACAATAAAAAAAAAATATCCAATGAACATATCAGTTAGTTGGCGAAGGGCTTCATACGTTCGACGAATAATAAAATAGCGCCACAAACAATGTATCAGTGTGTTAGTGGTCTGCATACTGTATACAACGCTGGTTATTTATTGGATATGAATCTATCAGAAAACGTATGTACTTGACTTGAAATTGAGATGTTTCTAGAATGAAACGTCTAAACAACTTTTATAAGCATGACCATAAAAAAGAATAAATCGTATCATTCTTCTTCATCAATTAATTACTTATTGTGTCGAAATATTCTTTAATAGTATGCTCAAAGATCAATTTTATATCAAAAGATTAGAATTCCGTATTAGTTATGTTGAACGCATAGGTACACTAATTGAGGATGTAAGTGTTTTATTAAACGATGCGGTGATGAAAAACTGAATAAAGAAAAAACAATGATGTATAGTTTTATATTTATTCTCTGTAATGTTGAAACAAATTGAAAACACCACTGCATAAAAAGGAGATTATACAAAGAAAAGAGAAAAACCTCGAAGAATTATTATTGAAGGATTGTTTCCAATGCATTAATAAGATTTTGTTCTCGGGATTTAATCCATTCAATATTCATATTAACTTGATCAATTGCTTGTTTACGTGATGATGCACCAGCACCTGCATTTGGATAAAGTGTAAATAATTGATTCATCTAAAAATTTAAAATTAAACGTATTTTTTCGAAAAAATCAATATTTTACTTCATCAAGATACGATTCTTTTTCAAATGAACGTGCCATTGAACTAATAACAGTACCCAATCGACGATTTTCAAGTGTATAACTAAAACAAAAAAAAGCAAAATTGAATTTTTCTTCAAAAAAATCAAAATTCTTTACATATCAACAAGTTTTTGAAAATTATTTTTATAAAAATTCCATGCAACAGCACGTCCAGTTGGATTACGACTCATATATGCAATCATAGCAAAAAAGTCTTGTCTTTTTATTGTATTTGAACCACCTTTTAAACCATCTTCAAGTAATCTATTTAATCGATCTTTATTATTAGTTGAACTAAAAGCAACTAAAGCACGTGTTTGTTCTTGTGGTGATATAGCAATTTTATAATAATTATACATCATTTCCCAATCACTTTCATTATCATCATTACTTAAATGACATATATAAACTGTTGATAAGAAATCTGCATTAATACTAAAATCAAATCAAATTTTATCGTACAAAAACAAAGAATTCTATATCTTTACTTGATATCTACATCACTTCCATTAAAATATTCAACTGGAATTGATTTAAATAATTTACTCGCTCGTTGAATAGCATCTTTATCATCCATTCGACAAAGGCATGAGAACTGTAAACCTTTTAATAACCTATTAAATCAAGAAAAAAATATATATTTAGTACTTTCGAAAAATTTTACTTCGTATTTTCATCATCAGTTGAATTTGTTTCTAATATATCATCAATTGTTGAACCGGATAATAAAATTTGTTTAGCTGTAAATGTCTATACATAGGAAAAAAAAGAAGATTATATATAAATTTTATTATTCAATCGAACTTTAAATTTTGTCCATAGATCAGGTAAATATTCAGTTAAATCAGCTAAAAGTTCCCAATGCCATTGAAATGTACGCCATATAACAAATTGTGTACTATTTATCTTTATTAATGATTGTAAGATATGTAATGGTTCCATATAATCAATTAAACCTTTATAAGCAAGTAAATATGCATCTTGAATTAAATTAACTTTATCTTCATCAGAAAAAAACTAGCAAAAAAAAATAAATCAATAAAAATTATTTCAAAGATAAAATTTACTGTTGGATGAGCTTCTAATACATATGATAAAATTTGCCAACTAGATAATGTTGATATATCCGATGAATATTGTGTAACATAAAAACCATGATAATCACGATTACATTTTATCCATGTGAAATATTTTTCGGAGAAAAATCTCGTTTCTTTTTCAGTTTCAAACATAAAATCAATTGTATCATGTCCGATTTTAATAGTATCATTTTCCAAGGAATTACCACCGAGAACACATCGAAGATTAATTTTCCATATATAATTACTAGTTAAATTCGATGAATCAAGTGCATTTGAAATGATAAAACGCGATTGATTGAATGTTACATAGGTTCCATTATCATCAGCTTTTAAATTAACATTTAAAATAGGAAAATTTGGTTCTTGTAGCCAATTTTTCATATATTCTTCTCCGCTAATATTCGCAAATAATTTATTATAGAATATAGTTGGATCACCAACATCAAATGCGTTCAATGTTAAATATTCTCGTAAACCATCACGAAATATATCTGAACCAACAGTTTTTTCTAACATACGTAATATACTTGCTCCTTTTGAATAAGTTATTGAATCAAATAAACTTGTTATATCAGATGGACTTGTGACATTTTGAACAACAATTGCATGTGATGATGGTTTAGCATCATCCCACATAACAGGTATAACTTCTTCAGTTAATACTTGTAATTCCTTTAATAGAAAAAAACAGTGTCTATAATTGAATAAATAAGAAACAAAATATTTTACCATATTCCAATTAGGATAATAATATGTAAATGGTTTATAAGCAAGCCAGGTAGCCATAGCTTCATTTAACCATAAATTATCCCACCATTTACATGTAACATAATTTCCAAACCCTATGAAATTGATTAGTTTTAGTATTACATGATATGAAAATAAACGTACAAAAATGAGCAATTTCATGTGCCATTGTTTCTCCTAATTGTTGTTTTTGAAGGATTGATGCAATTTTTTTATCAAATATTATCCGATCTTCACGAAATGATACCAAACCCCAATTTTCCATTGCACCCGATGCAAAATCTGGTACAGCCAATAAATCTAATATTTAAATTAGTGTTTTTTTTATTTAAAAATACATATATGTATATTTACCAATTTTAGGTGTAACAGGTTCTGATGTATTGAAATAATCAGTAAAAAATATAACAGAATTACGAGCTATTTCAAGTGCTAATGCTGTATGACCTTTTTCTGTTGGTTCATGACGAGCCCAAACAATTATCTAAAAGACAAATATGTAACATATCTCTCTCTCGAGAAAATTCAAATATACTTCTGGTTCATCATCGGTACTAATTAATTTTCCATATGTATCAGGAAGAATAGCCCAAGCAGCAAGATACGTACTCATACGAAATGTATCAGCAAATGTTGTTCGACGTAGATCATTTTCTATAGTTTCTTCAATCTAATGAAAATCAATATTTTTGTTTTTTTGAAGAATAATTCTATAAACTTACAGTAGGAAAATTTGCAATAGCAATTGTATCTTGAGGATGAACAATACTAATCTTGAAAATAGCTTTAAATTGTGGTTCATCAAAACATGGAAATGCTTTACGAGCATCAGTTGGTTGAAATTTTGATGCTAATAATTTTCTAAATTAAAATAAATATATTCAATTTTGATTATCTATAAAATATATGTTTATACCCTTGCGTTCCATTACCGAGTTTAAATGCACTTTGATAAAAGCCTATACTTCCATCAGTTAAATTAACTATAAATCTCTGCTTTAAACTATATCGATTGGGTGTAAATAGAGAATCATTTGATAGAGACTGTAAACTAATATAATCATTTGGTGAATATATTCGCATTGTAACAAGTCGATTAATATTATCTTCATAAAGTACGGGCTCATCAAGTTGAACAAATCGTTTTGCATGATAAATCAATTGTTTAACTGGTTGTTTCAATGTAAAATCAATTGTTACAAGTCCTTGAGCTGTTGTATCATCATTATTCTTATATATATATTCTAATTCATAGCTATGAACTTCTAAATCTGCTAATATACGTTGATTACATTCATCTTCAATACATTCTGATAAATTGACTTTATCGATAGCAGTATTAACTGCTGTTGTCGTTGTATTTTCCAAAAGTGTAGTAAATATATCGATCTCTTGTGTTTGTTGAGGCACAACACCGGCAAGCAAACCAATAGTGATCAATGATGTCCAATAAAATAAAATTCTAAATATAATACATGACATTGAAACGCGATAAAATATAGTATGTAATGATTGTATATTTTGATGTGTACTTCTTCGTAATTGATTCAACTTTAAACTAATTGTAATATTGTTATTGGATATAGTTACACTTAGATGACAGATAATGACTATCACCAGCTGCTGTTATTGTATCGTGAAAACCTTTTAGTAGATAACAGTTATTATTAATATAGATAGATAGGGAAATACTTAAAAAGGTCTTCTCGGTAGATAGCGCGTCTCTTTTATCTACCTCGATTTGATAGAAAACGAAACGATGACGTTAATAAATACTGAATAACATTTAACAAAATCTTTCCAGACAATTATGTCCACCTGGTGTTTGTTGACGCTATTTTTCTTCTAAATACGATATGTCAAGATCATGAAAATAGTTTATTGTTTTAGTAAATAAAAAATGATTACGAAATAGAAAAAAAAAACTTAAGATTTTAAAATGAAAATAGGAAATGTTTTTATATTCTAATTAAATTATTGTTTGGAATTTAATTTATCACCAGCTGATATAGCATCGTCAAGAGATTCAGCCATACCATCGATAATCCATTCAAAATTCATTAGAATTTGATCTTTAGCTAATTGTTGACTTTTTGATGCACTTGGATATTGATTAATAAAATTAACCATCTAGAATAAATTTCAATAAGACAAAAATTCAATTTAATATGAAAATAAACAAACCTGGAAGTAATAATATTCATTTTCAAATGATTGAACAATATTTACGATCAATTGGTTAAATAAACGATTTGTTTCGCCATATCTTTTTAAAAAAAAATTATTTTTTTAGAAAATATGATTTTATTTACCTTTGAAGTAAGGTTCGATAATTATGTCGATAGAAATTCCAGACAATATCACGTCCAATAGGATTTTGACTCATTGATATAATTAAATCAAAAAATTCTTGTGTATCAATTATATCTGCTTCGGCATCAAAAGCAGTTTCCAACAATCTATACACAACAAAATGAAAATATTTTAAACAATAAAAAAAAACAGAATTTACAATTTAAGACGCCACGTTTCTTTAGATGCACCAAGAGCTCGAAGAATAGTATTTCGTTGTTGTGCTGTAATATATTCATTATCAGTCATAAGCGCCCATAAATGATCCCATTCATCCATAACATTTGTATTTTGCATATGATAATAAATGGCTGTTGATAAATAATCAGCATTAACACTAAGAATATGAATAATTATAAATAAAATAAAATAGAGACAATAAACTAACTTTGTAACACCGGTTGAATTATAAAAATAACTTGCTGGAATAAGTTGATACAGTTCAGTCGCTTTATTTAATGCATCAGGATTTTGAATACGACAAAGTAATTCAAAAAACATTGAATGGAGTAATCTAAATAGTATTAGTTATATAAAAAAATTCTTATTAAAATTTCTAGACCTGTCTTCATGATTTGCTTCATTAGTTACAATACTATCAATATTAAAACTAAAAGGAGCCAGAGTGAGTCGTGTTGCAAATTGCTACAATATAAGTAATAGATAAAAAGAATTTAAATATGAATAAATTTTCCAAATACCTTAAAATTATAAAAATATTTCGAATGTTCTTCGACATCCACTAAATAATTCCAATGCCATACAAATACAGACCAAGGTATATAATTCCCTGTTGGAGTAAATAATTCTCGTGCAAGATTAATTGTTTGATCATAAGATACAATTTCACCACCATGAGGAAGGATGAATGCATCATTAAGTAAATTAGCTCTATCATTAGAAGAGAAGATACTATCCTAAATTATTTTTAAGAATAAAAACAAAAAATATTTCAATACAAAAATTCAAGGATTAATATATTACTCGGAATATTAATTCAAATGCTTGCCATAATGTATGTGGATCACCTCCCTTGTATACATATTCTGTAACTTGAAATGAATAAAAATCTTTATTACATTTAATCCATAAATATTCTTCTTCGAATGCAAAAGTTTCAGTTGATGAATCAAATATAAAATTTATTTTTTTTGGAGCATAGTTATCAGTTAAATTCCAAATATCTCCATCTTTTGAACCACCTAAATCACATTCCATATAAATTTTCCATTTATAATTTGGATCTAATGAACTGCTATCCAATGCAAATGAACCAAAATAACGTGCTTGAAAAAAAGTGATTGTAGTCTTATTTTCTGTACCATTACCTGGGATAAAATCAACTGTTACTATTGGATAATTTCTTTCATCAAGCCATGAATGAAAAAAATCTTCAGCAGTTATTGCTGTATTTAATGCTGCAGGCAAAACCAAATTTGAATAAAATGTATTTAATATATTTGATACATCAGTTTCGTTAAAAATACTTCTAACAGCTGTTTGAAATGTATCATTACCAACCATATATTCCATTAGACGAAGAAGTGATGCACCTTTACTATAAATATGTGTCGATAAATAATCAAGAATTTCTTCGTTATTTGTTAGATTGTGATTTGATATTGGCCACATACTTGGTTTAAAATCATCCATCATTAATGGAACCATTTCTCGAATTGGAAATTGTTCCATCTATATATAGTCATAGAAATAAATATTCAATGTTAATAATCCTGACTTACTAAGTTATATGATGGATAATTTGCATCGATCATTTTATAAGCAAGAAAAGATGATAAGGATTTATCAAACCATATATTATCCCACCAATCAGTTGTTGAAAACCACTAAATATAATAAATAAAGTTAAATAAAACAAAATATTATATTTTTCTTTTACAGGTTGTAAAATATGTTCAACAATTATTTTTGCTGTTGTTTGTATCTCTTGAGCAGAATTTAAACTTGCGTCTGTAGTTAGTATTTCCTCACGGAATGTTAAAAGACCTCGTGATGCTGATGCTTTTTCATCGAGAGTTAAATCAGGTATACCAATCAAATCTATAAATAAATATTGAAAGGGAAAAAATTTTTAACAAATAATATTGAATTACCAATTTTATTTGGTAAATCTCCATTTGCTATATTCAAATAATCTTGAACAAATGTAAGTGTTTTTTCAACAAGTTCAAATGTCTTATCTAAATTCGCATCTGCTGGTCCAGTTAATTCTGGTCGAACCCAAATATTAACCTAAATATTATTATCTTTAATAACATAAAAATTGAAATTAAATAAATTACTTCCGTTGGAGAAAAAGTTTTTGTTACTAATTTAAATCCATCTATAGGTAAAATAGCCCAAGAAAGTGAATCTGGACTAATAGATGGTGTTGGAAGAAATGTTGTCATCGAAGGTGTTTGAGTCTATAAATGAAAAGAGTAGTATTAATAAATTCTTTTGATTTTGGATGATAATCTTACTTGTACATCAGTAATGGATAATACAGTTGAATTTTGTGGATGATCAAGTGTTAAAGTAAATGTTGCTATCATATTTGGTTCATCAAAACATGGAAAAGCTTGAAGAAAGAAAAAAAAATTCGTTTCAATAATGATTTAATTTCTTTTTTTTTACCTTTTCGTGCGTGAATTGGTTGAAAATTTGCAGCTATTAAACTATATATAATATTAAAATAAATGCAAAATATAAATTATAAAATATTTTTTACTAGCGTATTTCATCGATTGATTTCCAAAATTGTTCACGATAAAATCCTGTTTGATCTCGTTCATTAATTTTTCCATTATAAACAATTTGAAGAGTAATTTCACCAACAGCAATAGTTGAAGAAAATGATAGATAAATCATTTCGTATTCTGGTAAATATGTTACTGTTGCTGCTCCTGTACCACCAGCTGTTAATTGTGCTTGAGTTATATTTAAATTTTTAGCATGAAGAACAAGAAATGTTGTTGCATTTACAATATTAATACGAATAGATACTTGTCCATTGAATGTGATTGTAGATTGAGGTGATGTCAGATTAAAACAATCAGGACAAGAAACACGTAATGTATAATCAATAGGTACAGCAAATGTTGGTAAACGCCAGGAGTCATAAGGCTTAGTAAGATTAGCCCATGGATCTGGTGTTGTTGTTCGTGGTGTTGTAGGATTAGTAGTAATTACTGGTCGTGTTACAGATACTGTACTTTGTGTACTTCGTGTTGTTGTTATAGGAGAAGCAGTTGGCATAGTTGATACTGTTGTTGTAGCAATGCACATTGGTGGAACAACACCACATTGAGCACGATCATCAACATCTCGAACATATCTTCTACGATAATCTGTTAAAATCTCTGAATTGTTAGATGGAGGTTGATTGGTATTATCTACATATATAATATCACATTTAACTGCTCGATATCGACTAATTAATGGTGCCATAGCAACTAAACAAGCCAAAGCAGCCATAATAAGTGCAAATAATTGCCATAATGCTAATTCGACTTCGTTGTTCGTACGTTTCGTTACTATCTTCATCTTTTAAACAATGCAGATGAATGTGAATAGTTGCAAACTTATATAAAAAGAGAGGTCTTTTATGTATAGTCGCGCGATAAAACTAGCGATGTCATAAAACTTGAAAACATTTGATAAAAAAGAAAGTTCTCCAATCATTACGATACAATTACATATGGTTATAAAATACGAAAAAGAATTCTAAGATTTGATAATCGAAATTATATAGCTTATGAAAAGGCTACAAAACGATTATATCGAAGATATAAATTACTAATAATACATAAAGTAAAGTTACTTTTTTTATGAGTGATTTTTTTTTGTAAAAGTCAGTTAAAGCAACTTGCCCACATTATACTGATGTGTTGAATATGTATTCAGAATAAAAATCTATATAATAAGATGATACTTTTTTCTTGGAGTTTACTGACATCTTTAGGATAAATTTATTATTATGATATTTATTCGAAATTATTTACCAATACACTAGCAAAGAAAGACAAACGAACGATAGCTAGTAGACTCATATCCAAGTTCAATTAATTTTTGAATATTTTACGTGACAAGAAGTTCTTTTTTTTTATCTCGATGGCTGAAATAGAAACTGTGCAAGAGAATTCATCGATTGTTGTTGTTGTACCTAATAATAAAAATCCAGATACTAATGAAAAGATATCAGATGTATGCTACATACATTTTATTAGATTAAAACATAATTTTATCTTTAGCAAAATTCTCAGCCTAAAATTGAAACGACATCAACATCTAATAATAATTTTGAATCAATAAAACCTTCAAATGATATTCCAAGAAATCATTCCACGCATAATAATTCAGTAGGACAAAATTATATATATATATAAATATTTTTAATTCATTTCTTCAATCCTATTATCATATAGTTTAATGATATGACTAATGGCATGCCAAGATTATCTGCGTATAATATGCACCCAAGATATCATCCGAATTCCAGTCGTTTTCGTCCACAATTAAATTATTCACATCGTTATCCAACATCTGCTGTTTCGTACTTTCCTTCACAAATGCATCAACTTACTACTCAAGCAGAAATAGCTGCTTTTACTCCACCGTTGATGTCACTTCAATTTCCTGAACAGCAACCTTCTATAAATCAGCGAAATTATTATACACCGAGACCATATACAAGGCATCATTCAAATAAACAAACATCTTCAGCAATTCAGAACAAATCGGAAACAACAGTATCACAACCAGAATATTATGTAGATAATTTTGCACCAAATTTTTCGGATAAACCCTCATCTTCAACTAATAATGATAATAATAAATCTAAAACAAAACATGTCACTTTTCTAGAACCAGAAAAAGCAAAGTTAGTGATTATATATTTTTGTTTATAAATTAAAATTTTTATATAAATTATATTTAGTGAATTATCAACAAATGTCTCGAATAATGTATCATTTTCACCATCATTAGCAAATAATTCTGTTCATTCATCTTCTACCTGGTCATCACCAGTTCCACCTATGCATTATCCTCCATATCACCTGAACCAATATCCTTATCATAATCAACGATATCCTTACAATCCTTCTTATCCACAATATCCTAATATGATGATGAATCAAACTTATATAGATCCTCATTATAATATGAATATGATGCCAACATATCCTTCATGGCAGTAAGTCTTTTGAAAGTTCAATATTTGGTTACTAATAATAATTTTCTTTGATATACAGAATAAAAACAATATTCTATCATTTTTGCTATTTAATCGATTGTAAAAATGAGTTTCTTTACTAATTCATAAAAAAAAGTATGCATTTATTATTATTCATAGAAAATTTCAATTAGATCATTATTATTTATCTTAGATTCTTTATATCGTAATTTTATTGTCTCGCGTTGATTATCGATAAGATAGTTCAAACGATTAGATACTATAGAAATAAATATGAAGAACTTTTACTATATATATATTTTAGGCCACGATTATATGATCCGACACAACAACAATCACATGTTCCTTATCCATTTCAACAAAAACAACTCTATGATCCAAAAAAACCTAAAACATCAGCAACATCTGAATCTCATAATACACCGAAAGTAATTCGTAGTATCACACCAAAAAATAAGAAAAAAACAAAACAAACAAATAATAATGATGATTCAATTGTATCAACATCTGAACCTATTCCACATCCAATAACTATTCTTCGTAAACCGAGTACAGATACTGAAATTACGACACCATCAACATCAACTGAGAATAAACCTTTTTTCCCATCTGAAGAAAAAGAAGAAGAAGAAGTGCAACAACCGACTATTACACCTGTTGAAGATCATTCAAATGTCCCATCTGAAAATGAACAGATAAATATTCCATCTATAGATAATCAATCTGAATCAAATACAGTTATATCATTAACAACTCATGAACTTTTATCTATTCTTCAAAGTGCAAATTGTATATCAACTTTAAATGAATATGCTCAACAAAAGAAATTTACAATAAATTATGAATTTTCTTCTATATCTCCATCATTATTTACATGTATAATTTCTATTAATAATCGTCAATTTCCAGCATCTTCACCCTGCCCATCAAAAATTGAAGCACAAAAATTAGCATGTGATCAAGCTTTACGTACTCTCTATCGTGAATTAAGTACTAATGAACAATCTTTACCTGATCTTTCAAATATACATGATTATATTGCACTTCGATCTTTATCAAAATTTCAAGATTTAAATGTTAATGAATTATTATTAGGTCGAAAAACATTAGCATGTATATTAATGGTAACAAATGGTCAATTTGATCAAGCATGTGTAATTAGTATTGGTACAGGTAATGGTTGTCTTGCTGAAACAAATTTAGTTTATGCCGATGATGGAACAGCTTTACATGATTGTCATGCTGAAATACTTGCACGTCGTGGTCTTATTCGATATTTATTCGAACAAATTAAACAATCAAAAGATAGTAAATCATCTATTTTTCAATATAATTCAACAATCAATAAATATGAACTTCATGAAAATATCACATTTCATATGTATATATCATCATTACCATGTGGTAATGCTTCCTTAGAACTTTCAACAAATTCTATACGTTATAAACAAGGTCAAAAAGAAGGTACTATACTTGCATCAACAGATACAACAATAAAATATCCAATTAAATCATGTAGTGATAAAATATGTCGATGGAATATCTTAGGTATTCAAGGTGGTCTTTTAGTAAATTTACTTACAAAACCAATTTATCTTAATACAATAACATTAGCATGTGAAACAACATTTAATCGTAATCAAGTGAAATATTCATTATGTGAACGTTTAAATGAACATTGTCATTTATTACCAACTCCATTTGTATTTCATTTACCGGATATTGATTGTCCAAAAACAAAAACATTTCAACAAGAAAGACAAGTAGCAAAACTCCAGACAAGTGCATTTGCATGGAATATTACTCAATCAGACAGAAATGAATTATTAGAACCCATGACTGGAAAATTGAAGTATGCTATTTCTTCTATAAATAGACATAGATGAGATTAAATACTCTAGTTCACGGTCATTTATTCAGTATAAACTGTATGAATGTTAATATGCTAATCATACAACTGATATCTAGAAGATTAAGAAATATAGTGAAGCTTCCTGTGGTATTTTTCACTGATAGTACCAATTATAAACATAAGAATAAATCTTTTGATACTGTCAGTAATTGTGATACATCTCCATCGAATATTATCAGTATTTCTGTGACTGTCAATGTCACTCTGTATCTATGATATTAGTATTAACTTTGCACTAATGACATTGACACAATCCTTATTTACTCGTGACATTCAGATTAGATTTAATGATCTCTAATTATAAGTAAAAATAAACTATAATTTAATTATTATAAAATCACCAACATGAACACTATTAGTACACTATGCACGATATGTTAACCCTTTATTTCTCATGGCTGAAAATTTTAAGGTGTGAAACTGAAACTCGTCCTTCAACCTCCATCGCATAGCATAACGCAACACATTTGTCTGAGCCACAAATACAAAGTTTTAAGAAGAGTGTAGTGCTCAAGTTATCGATATAAAATCTGTGATAGATGTGACCTAATTTGATCGAAAAAATAGTTAATACTCAATGAAAATTTTTCTTTATAGAAATGATCGATCAATATCATCTTTAAGTAAACAAAATCTTTTTAAAGATTTTACAAATTTTATTCAAACAAATGACAATTCTCTATCCTATACAACATATCAACAAGCTAAGCAACTCAATAAAACATATGTTAAAGTAAAAGAATTAATTTCAACAGCATTTCAAAATGTATCATCTGATATAAATATATCATGGTTAAGTAAAAGTGATCAACTTGAACAATTTTCAATTCAATAATTTTGAATTATATATATTTTATTGCTTGCTTCTTCTTTCTTTTTTTCTTTCATTTATATTTCCAAGTAATTCATGCTATATGCGTACTTGATTTTGTTCTTTTTTAAAAACGAATTTAGTCTTTCTACTATTTGCTTGTTTTTTTTCAGATGTTTAGAACATTTATTCGACCATTACAATCTATTCGTATTGTTCATATTCCTGTTCGAGTAAATAAAATTTGTTTATTTGAAATTAAATTTTATTATCTATTTAATTAGACAACAGTGATTGTTGAACGTATACATCCATTGACAAAATTACGTCCATCAGAAAATATTTATGATTATAGTAAATATAAATACACAGATTTTCAATATCGTATTGTTCGAGATACAGATACAGATAAATGGGGAAATATTAATGTTATATTAACTGAATATGTTGAAGGTAAATAAGAAGATGATTATTTTAAAAATATTTAATTATATTTTATGATTAGGTGTCGGTTATAAAGGTGAAATAGTGAATGTTCCACGTGAAATGGCTTATACAGAATTATTACCAGTACAATTAGCACTTTATCCAACACCAGAGAATGTTGCATTATTTGAAGAAGAAAGAAAATTACTTGTTGATCGGCCACAAATTTCACCATTCGTTGCTAAATGTCGCGATTATCTGAAAACAGTTGTTTTACAAATACCAATTAATCTTAAATTAAAAGATTGGTCAGTAACAAAAGATAATATTCGTATTGCACTTCGACGTATTGTATGTAGTTTCTCTTTGTTTTTGTTTTTTCTGTACAAAATATTGTTCTTTTTTTAGAATGTTATGTGCGAAGAAGATGCTATTCTATTAGAAGATGGTGCTGTTAATCAAGATACTTATAAATTAGGAGAAGAATTTAATGTTATTCTTAAGATCAATCCACTTGTTGATGTATCTATAAGATGTATTATTGCTCCTGTTGATAAAGCGAAACTATGGGATGAATATCAATTATCAAAACGTCGATCTAAAACATAATACTTTGTTTTTTGATATTTTATGTTAATTATGTTTTCTTTCGTAGACAATAGGTTTTTGATTAAAATAAAAACAATAAGATCTACAATCTTATTTTCATTTTGTTCTCGACTCACAATTTAATAAATGATTCATTGTGATACCCAGGCAGACCTGAGCTTTAAAAAAAACGCGTTCAAAGAGCGTATATACGGCGTTTCAACGGTAGACCATTCTGAAAACGCCGTTTTTACGAATTCTTAACGCGTTCCTATGCAATTTTCCAGAAAGCGTTCTACTGCGTTAAGCGCAGATTGTCGACGTCTTAATCACAGTAAACAAAATTGACAGAGATAAAAATCGTAAAAATGTACGCTTTTCCGGATTTTTTTTTCGTTAAAACTTATAAATTCCTACACGTATTTCTCTGGTTTTTTTTGAGTTTTGTCTGCCTGGGTGTACTCAAATAGATAATTGTCTATATGAAATTCTTTACTGAGAATATAACTTTTTATTATATCACGTATCAGTTATTCTGATAATAGCATCGTTTGAATATTTATAATATAAGAAAAGCATCTTCCTATTGTTTTTTCTTGGCAAGTTACATGTAAGACAATCCTCAAGCTTTGCACTAAAGGTGAAATTATATTTTATTTTGAAAGAGACAAACATTATTATCATGTCATCGCATTCTGCTGTAAAATTACTTGAACGTCGTCCTCGTAAACAAACAACAGCAGAAAAAATATCTTATGAGGGTGTCAAACCCACTATATTGATATATAATAGTGATACAGTAGAAACACCATTTTATACAGCCATTAAAGATATTCGAGCAATACGTAGCGATGAATGTTTATGGATTGATGTACCTGTTGTAAGGAATTTGTTTTTTAATTTATTTATTATTAAATAATAAAAATATTTTATATGTGTTTGTAGACTCAAGATAAAGCTTTATTAGCAGATATTAGTGAATGTTTTAAAATTCATTCATTAGTTGTAGAAGATATTGAAACAACTGAACAACGTACAAAACTAGATGTTTTTGAAGATGCTTTTTTTCTTGTGCTTAAATTAATCTATCCTACACGTGGTACAGACGAAACTTCTATTGATCAAATTTGTTTTTATATGAAAAAAAATATTCTCATTACTTTTCAACAAAAACCACAAGCAATTTTCGATGCAATCAAAAGTAACGTATAAGAAAAATTATTTTGAACAGTATCTATTTACATACAATAATTCTATAGATCGAATTTGTCAGAATAGAGGTCGAATACGAAAATCAAATATTGATAATCTATTTTATTCATTATTTGATACAATTGTTGAACAATATGTGGATGTATTAGATGGAGTTGGTATAAAAATTGAAGCACTTGAACGTAATTTAATGGAAAAATTATCACGTGATTCACTTGAAACAATCTATGAACTTAAACGTGAAATGCTTTTCTATCGTAGTTCAATAGTACCATTAAAAGAAATTATAGTTAAATTACAAAAAGAAGAAGAAACACAAATTATTCAAGAAGGTACAATTATCTATTTAAAAGATTTATATGATCATGTTGTTCAAGTAAATGATACAATTGACGCATATCGTGAAATGCTTTCTTCATTTATTGATTTTTATATGATGTTAAATTCAAATGCAATGAATAAAGTCATGAAAACTTTAACTATTATTTCAACAATATTTATTCCATTAACATTTATTGTAGGTTTATATGGAATGAATTTTAAAAATATGCCTGAAATACATTGGAAATATGGATATATAAGTGTTCTTATTTTTATGGTAACATTAACAATTATCATGTTAAGTTGTTTCAAAAAGAAAAAATGGTTTTAAAATACGAAAAATTATATTTATTCAAAAATTTCTGCTTTTTTCTCTTTGTGTAAAATATTTGATGCATGGCTTTTTTTTCAAATACTTTTTAATAATATAAACATTCTGCAAAAAAACAAGATAGTTTACATTGACAATAGGTTTTTGATTAAAATGAAAACAATAAGATCTACAATCTTATTTTCATTTTGTTCTCTACTCACAATTTAATAAATGATTCATCGCGATGTACTCAGATAGACAATTGTCTATATGAAGTTCTTTACAGAGAATATGACTTATCAGTTATTCTGATAATAATATCGTTTAAATATTTAGAATAAAGAAAAGCATCATCCTTTTGTTTTTTTCTTGACAACTTGGATGTATGACAATTCTCAAGCTTTGCACTAAAAGGTAAAATTATATTTTATTGTGAAAGAGACAAACATTATTATCATGTCATTGCATTCTGCTGTAAAATTACTCGAACATCGTCCTCGTAAACAAACAAAAGCAGAATATATACCTTATGAATATACTAAAGATGAAGACCAATTAAGAGAAAGATCACGTACAATAAATCGTCATGGTACTTCAATTAGTATTCCGCCTACACTTTTACGACAAGCTACCTGTGAACGAGCACCATCTTATGTAGGTGTCAAACCCACTATATTGATATATAATAGTGATACACTCGAAACACCACTTTATACAGCCATTAAAGATATTCGAGCAATACGTAGCGATGAATGTTTATGGATTGATGTGCCTGTTGTAAGGAATTTATTTATTATTAAATAATAAAAATATTTTTTATGTGTTTATAGACACAAGATGAAGTTTTATTAACAAGTATTAGTGAACGTTTTAAAATTCATCCATTAGTTATAGCCGATATCGAAACAACTGAACAACGCACAAAATTAGATGTTTTTGAAGATGCTTTTTTTCTTGTTCTTAAATTAATCTATCCTACACGTGGTACAGATGAAACTTCTATTGATCAAATTTGTTTTTATATGAAAGAAAATATTCTCATTACTTTTCAACAAAAACCAAAAGAAATTTTCGATCCAATCAAAAGTAATGTATAAGAAAAAATATTTTGAACAGTATCTATTTATATACAATAGTTCTATAGATCGAATTTGTCAGAATAGAGGTCGAATACGAAAATCAAAAATTGATTATTTGTTTTATTCATTATTTGATACAATTGTTGAACGATATATGGATGTATTAGATGGAGTTGGTATAAAAATTGAAGCAATTGAACATAATCTAATGGAAAAATTATCACGCGATACACTAGCGTCAATCTATGAACTTAAACGTGAAATGCTTTTTTTCCGTGGTTCAATAGTGCCATTAAAAGAAATTATAATTAAATTACAAAAAGAAGAAGAAACACAAATCATCCAAGAGGGTACAATTATTTATCTGAAAGATTTATATGATCATGTTGTTCAAGTTAATGATACAATTGATGCATATCGTGAAATGCTTGCTTCGTTTATTGATTTTTATATGATGATAAATTCAAATGGAATGAATGAAGTTATGAAAACTTTAACTATTATTTCAACAATATTTATTCCATTAACATTTATAGTAGGTGTATATGGAATGAATTTTGATAATATGCCTGAAATACATTGGAAATATGGATATATGGGTGTACTTGTTTGTATGGTAACATTAACAATTATTATGTTAAGTTGTTTTAAAAAGAAGAAATGGTTTTAAAATACGAAAAATTATATTTATTCAAAAATTTGATTTTTTCTCTCTTTTTGTAAAAAATTTGATATATATTACTTTTTTCGAATACTTTTTATAATATAAACATTGTACAAAAAACAAGATAGTTTACATCAGATACTCTCTCCATGTTGTGTTTTATTCGAATGAATAACGAAAAACTAGATATGACGTGAAAGAATGTGTGAAGGCATATGAAGATATGACTGTAACAACTTGCATGATCTCTATGATGAAATTAAATTTCTTATATTTAGATTGTATCTCTCATGGAATAGAAAAATTACTAATATCACCTGAATGTTTTATCTATTATCAGCTAGTTGAAAAACATAATAGTTTTGAGTACAAAAACAAAGAATGTCGTTTTTTCTTTCTTTTCTTTTGTCTACAACCCATTTGTTTACTATTTTGTCGTTTTGAAAGTAGCATGTCATCTTCTTCTCGAGAACCTAACTTAGTTATTTTAAAAGGAATTCGTCCTTTATTATCATGGGATAGTGAATTCTTAATAAATGAAGATAAAGTACGATATAGAACATGTTCATCTATTCATCGCAATACATCTAGTTATCATATGTCCATATCTGAACCAGAAATTCGAGAATTAGAAACATTTATACCTGTTTCGCCAACAGTATTTATTTATAACAAAGATAGTGTTGTAGAAAATTCCTATGCATCCATTGAAGATATTCCAGCAATAAAAAATGATGAATGTTTATGGATTGATGTTATTGGTGTAAATAAATAATTCTAATTATAAATAATAAATATCTATATTTATAGGTACAAAATGAAGTCTTATTATCAAGTATTAGTCGACGATTTAAAATTCATTCATTAGTTATAGCCGATATTGCAACAAATGATCAACGTACGAAATTAGATGTTTTTGAAGATGCTTTATTTCTTATTATTAAATTAATTAATTCTAATCGTGATACACAACAAATATCTATTGAACAGATCAGTTTTTATATGAAAGAAAATATATTAATAACATTTCAAGAAAAATCATCAGATATATTTGATTCAATTAAAAGTAAAGTAATAAGAACTATTGAGATATATATATCGTTATACAATCTATACTTATTTAGATAAAATTCGTCTAGATAAAGGTCGTACTAGAAAATCAAAAATTGATTATTTATTCTATTCATTAGTTGATAAAGTCGTTGATCAATATATGGATGTATTAGATGGAGTCGGTAGAAAAATTGAAGCAATTGAACGTAATCTAATGGAAAAATTATCACGCGATACACTAGCGTCAATCTATGAACTTAAACGTGAAATGCTTTTCTATCGTGGTTCAATAGTACCTCTAAAAGAAATTATAATTAAATTACAAAAAGAAGAAGAAACACAAATTATTCAAGAAGGTACAATTATCTATTTAAAAGATTTATATGATCATGTTGTTCAAGTTAATGATACAATTGATGTATATCGTGAAATGCTTGCTTCATTTATTAGTTTTTTTATGATGTTAAATTCAAATGGAATGAATCAAGTTGTTAAAACTTTGACTATTATTTCAACAGTATTTATTCCATTGACATTTATAGTAGGTGTATATGGAATGAATTTTGATAATATGCCTGAATTACATTGGGAGTATGGATATTTTATGGTTCTTTTTGGTATGGCAGTATTGACACTTATTATGTTTTGTGTTTTTAAAAGAAAAAAATGGTTTTGATATAAAACAGAAAACAATATATTTTTATCATGTATTAATTATTACGAAAACTTTGTTTTTTGTACATTTAAAAAAAAAATAGTTGAGTAAATAGTTTTCTATTGACATTTACTCGAAAGTATAGAAAATAAATAAAAAAATTTATATAGATCAATAGATAGATAATCAATGTATCATACGTCTGAATCATTATATTAAACAATCATCAGTCGAGGCATTCTTTTTCTAAAAATATAACATAATCATCTCGAATATGAATTAATAATAAAGTTTTAATAGAACATTATGTAAACATAACTTACAGTAATTGCTATGTATAAAATGTCTAATGAAATGTTTTGACTTTATCATAAAAAGACATAATTCTCTAGATTAAATATTATCTAGCAGTATATTTATTTTAAATTGACTAATCACTGCAAATATTCATATATGATTAAAATAAAACGACACAAAAGAACATGCAAAATACAAATCAATAAGGACATTTTTTTTCTAGATAATAATAATAATAATAATAATAGAGGTCAAATAGTCTGAATAGTTTAAAGAAAACATAGACAACAATTTGATATATGGTTTGGATCATCCGTTTTGATATAATCAAAAAACATTTTTTTAGCTGTAGCTTCTTCAAGATGGTCACCTTTTGCAATTTGTGTAAATGAGTTATCGGCTAGGTCTTTGTCAACACCAAAAAATTGACATGTTTTTACCCATTCATCTCGTGCTATATGACCATCATGATTAAGATCTAACATATTAAATGTTGTGTTGATTCTTTGTGTCAATTGTGGTAATAATTCAGGATTAGCACCTGGTTTACGTAATTCAATTGCTAGTTGTCGATGAAAATCAAGCCACTCTTCTATTTAATACATTAAATTTAAATAATTAACTTTTTCTTATTATTCAGTTTAAATCGAATTTACCTAATGTTACTTTTCCATCTTGATTGGCATCAGCTCGCATGATTTCTTGACAAAGAGCTTTTCGAGCAGTTGCATATTCTTCACGACGTTTATCATCACCTTGACCAACAAGTGTTGAAAGTTTATCAGCAAGAATTTCGAAATCAGCTGGAGTTATTTGACCATCTTTATCAATATCTTAAAACAAAAAACATTAGTATTTGAACAAAATAATCTATTCAATTACCATAGAGATAAAAAAGACGTTTCATTTTTTCACTCCAAAATTCATTTAATTCGTTTGACTAAATAAAATGTATTGTAATAATATTAATTCATACATATATCTTACCATTTTTTATGTTCAATAATAGAAAAGAAAATTAGTCGAGAGGCTTGTATATTATCTAAAATTAAGAATATATTGTTCTTTGTTTTTATTAATACTTATTCTAACTGTTTGAAAAGATTAATGAATTATTAAAACACTAGTTAATGCAAAAAACTTCTTGTATTTTTTCTCATAAGTTTTTATCAGACTAACCTACAGAATAGATATTTATAAATTGCTTATATTCGACTACACAAACCCTTGACAAAAAAAATATTTTTGTAGAAATCAAACGAGATCCCGTATGGATTAGCAATCTATAGACATTTACGAAGGAGAAAAGAAAAAAACAATTGTGTTTTCTACTTTCTCTCTTCGTTTTTTTTCTCTCTAGCTCTTATAATTAACATATACATATTTGGCATTTCGATTAAGTTAATTAAGAGCTAATCTGCAAAAGTAATTTGCGTAAAAAATCAATTTTATTACAGATCATTTAAGAAAACACATCTTTTCAGAGATATTTACTGTTATTATATTAAAGAAAATATTTTCATAGTTATATTACACATTAATTTTTTCATATGAATCCTAGATTATTAGTAAAGAAAAATAGTTGTTTATTCGAATCAATCTAAATATATATTTACGTATGCTATTCATCATTAGTGTATAATATAAAAAATGATTGACTAAAACAGAAATGAGATCAATAAGATAACTAAATGGTTAATGCTGTCAAAAATGTTACATACGAATCGATTAGATTTATTTATTTTATAAAAATGTACCCAAACGAATAATTTCTCCTCTAAACATTATTAAAGATCTTTGTCAAACAGAATTAACCAAGGTTATCTAAAAGAGCAGGTATTTGTACGAATCAATTAGAAAAATTGTCTATCAAGGTCATTGGTAGAATTCCCTCTTCACTAAATATTCTGTTTTCATTCTTACATGTTTCGAAATTATGTATTTTTTTGTCACGTAATTCACTTGATAATTGACAGATAAATATGCATTAAAAAGGAAATATACTCATCACATAATTATAAATGATTGATGGAATTTCTTTACAATTTTATATTTTTATTTTCGGACGAATATTTTGTTGTTTTTCTATTAGGTTATATATGCATGAATTGTAAATTAACCATTAAATATCAGTAAGAATTGCTTCTAGACAGCAACATATTTTAAATAGCATAAAAGGCTACGTTCTATTTTTATACAATAGAGATTAGACGGCAAATATCAGTCTGACTTCTTACCGCTGTTTATCTCCAGAAATAATTATAATTATAGCACCCTTTTCTATACCAACGAAAACAACCATATTTTTTGTTTTTGATGTCTAAACATTGCAATATTTGAAAAAAGAAATCATAATTAAAGATAATCTATTTCAATGATTATTACACTTATATGATAATTGTTTTTTATTTAGACAAGAAAAAATGAATATGTGTTTGTTAGATAGATATTTACACACAGACACAATATATAGAGTTAATTAATCTGAATCATCTTCAACTTCTTCTTTGCTTTTAGGTGCTTTCTTTTTTGGTGATTCTTTTGGTTTGGATTTTTTCTTTGAATCATCAGTTTTCTTTTTTGAACTAGTTGCAGATGATTCAGTTTTTTTGCGTTTTTTCGGTGATGATGGACTTTTATTTCCATCTTCATCCTCATCTTCAGTTGAATTTATTGAAGCATTACTATCATATTCAAGTGCATCTTCATCTTCTTCACCACCTGAAAAAAATATTTATTTTATTTTAATAAAATAGAACAATCAAAAATATTTTTGTACCTTGAAAATCTTCATCATCTTCTTCATCATCACTTTCTTCCTATTAAATTAATAAGAAATCAATTATTTTATTTGAAATATATATATGTTCAACTTACATCGTCATCTTCTCGTTCTTGACCTTCATTTTGTACATGTTCGAGATAAATATCACGATCTTTAACTTTATCCACAGCATAATTAACTTTTTTATCCTAGACAAAAAAAAAAGAAAGCGAAATAAATATTCTTCTATTCAATAAATTTCATTTTTAAATTACCCAATTACTAGCAGCATGAATACGAAGATCTTTTGAACTAAGAAAATCAGACATTGGCTTAGCTTCTTCTCTAAAAACAAAAGAAAATAAAATAAAATTCTTTTTTCTTATTTCGAAAAAAAATTTATTTACTTTTCAATATTACTAAATACTTGTGATCCACCACTTTTTAATTGAATTTCAAAATCAAATGTACGACCTGTAGCTGTATTAGATCGATTAAAACCACATGAAGCAACATCATCATGATGAATATATATTGGTGGTTTAGTTATATAAATAAAACCACGTTCAAGTGGATAAAGTAAACCAGCTGATGCTTTGTATGCACAACTAACACATTTTGCACCACTTTTACTATTAAAATTAAGAATAGTATGCATATTGTATACCAAAAACTTCATTTCTTACCTGGTGAATGAACCAGGTACAGTAATACGTTGTTCAGTAATAGCACGAAATAAACGTGATACAATATCATGATAAGGACCTTGCATTTCTTTTTGAAGATTACTACCATATTTTTCTTGAATGACTTCACTAAAATAAATAAATATTGCATAGATAATAAAAAAAGCAATATGAAATATATATTTACGGTGATAATGAGATTTCAACTGATGTTTCTTCTTCTTTTTTAAAACCAAATATAATATATTGATAACGTGTTTGACCATGTTTTACTGGTGGATCCAAACTAAGCTAAATAAAAATATTTCATATGTTTTTTTGAACTATAATTATAATGAGAGAAATTTCTTTCTAATTTATTTACCACAAAATACATTTGTCGATTATCTTTATGTGGAAGAAGAAAACCACGTGTAATTTGATTGTATGGAATTTTATAATCATATGATTTTCCATGTAAATCAAAAAATCCTGGATAAAATCGTAATTCATGTCGACCACTAAAATATAAAAATATTTGATAATTTTCCAAGATTCGTCCTTCGCATACCGTGGTACAAGACAATTGATATCTGATAAACTACAAATAGCATCACCAGCTTTAGCTGTTAAGACAGCAGCACCTTTCATAACATTTTGATGAAATTCCTAATGATTAAAAATCGATAAAAAAATTAATTTTTTTTTGTAATAAAATAATCATTACTTCAACTGCATCGCCATCAACATCGCCTTGTGGAACATAAAAACGAACTTCCATTAATGAAACTTTAACATCTTCAGCTTGATGAAATTGAAGTGTAACTTCATTTTTTCCTTTATTTGAATTTGAAACATTTTTTAATGGAATTTCAAATGCTTGTTTATGATCAACTTCAAATGTAAGATTACCGGCTATAATTAAGAAAATAATTATTTATTAGATCTTTTTGCTTTTGTTCGTTCTTACCTCCAAAATTTACTTTTCCCCAATTCCAACCATTTACTGCCATCTTTTGTGATTCAACATTTTTACCAAAATTAATTGTCATAAATTCTTTTAAACGTTCGATATCCTATTGAAAAAAAGAATTTATAAATAGATTTGATTTCTATAGGAAAAAAAATACGAACTGTATCTTTAAAACCATCATAACGAAGAGATGTATCATTTTTTGTAATAAATTTTAAACCATAACCACGTGAACGTTTCATCCATTTAATATTTTCAATTTCATCTTTGGTTAATGTTTCGACTTTACCAGTTCGTATATTTTTAAAAACAATTGAATTTGATGTAAGTTTCAAACGTCCTGGATTCTATAAATAAACAATAATAATAATGCATGTTTTTTCATAGGAAATAAATACGCTTACAAGGACACCACGTATTTCTTCATAGACTTCATCGAACTCCATTGTAGACATTTCTCCTGTGAAATGAAAATAAATCTATCTACAATAGAAAAAAAATGTATTCTTACTGTCGACTGCCTGTTCACTTCAGTTGCTAACTATTGAATGAAATAGATCTTATTCGGTCGAATATTCTTTCTTCTTTTTTTTGTAATACTTTGACACAAATCGCACATTTCATTGGATCAAAATTGCGCTCAGATTTTTAACCGTAAAACAAATTGAAAGAGGTCGCTCGATGCTAGTATAGTATTAAATACACAAAACATATCATTAGAAAAAGTATTTCAAACAAGCTGTAATTTAGATTCATAATCATTAGTTACGACAAATGCCATCAATAATCATGTATGAATGATAAATTTCGAGACCTTCTTAAAAGTTAGTTTTTTCACTGCAAAATCAGGTAAAGATTAATTTCTAAACTATCCTAAATTTATTACAAATGCAAAATATTTGATTGAAACTCAATATTGTCTTTACTTCCTTGTTTAATCAGTAAATAAAAAATTTCATCTTTTTTCTTTCGAAAACTATTTAGTTTATTCAGTGAAAAAAAAACCATCAATACATAACAAGTAATTATATTGACGTAATTCAGCAATTATTATTCATGAAATATTTTAAGAATCGAACCAATCAATACAATGATTTTCGGAATTATAAAGGATTATTTTAATGAGTTATTTTTATACAATAACATTTCTTTTCATCTGATCAGATTAATAAATAATGACAAGAGATATTCTAAAATAATATTAAATCTTTAGATTATTCCGAACGAAACATTCATTATATTCTCTATCCTATTAATATCTTCAAATTTCATTGATGATTTTATGTGGTGATGCTTTCACATATGTTATTTTTATCACGAAAAAAATTTTATCATTAAATTGCTGACGTCTATCCCTAAAGTAATATGTCATTGACGTCATCACAGAAAAAAAAACGAAAGAGAATCCTATCTAATATCAGTTAGAGAGTGGTGCAGATAAATCGAAAGATAAATATTCTGTTATTTTTATTTAACTAACTTGTTATATATGCATCCGACATATATATAATTTGTGTTTTATAACATAAAATTATTTTTTCTCTTTGTTAAAAATTTTTTCTATTAATGCCATTAACTAGAATTACAATAGAACTATTTTATTGGTAGTTCGATGACAAAAACAGGTAAAGTGACAGAACAAAGGAAGAAAAAACAACGAACATAGAACAGAACGATGTCTAAGTTCGATGACGTTTTATATAGAAATTTTGCTTTTCTTGTAGATGATTATGATACTTTAGAGAGTTTTTATATAAACTGATATTATATAGAAACGATTTCAGTCTCGACGGACACGCAAACTGTGTTGCTACTTGGTAAATTAATACGAAAGAAAAGAGAAAAGAAAAGTAGGATTAATAAATATGTTTTCTTTTCTTTTTTCATAGAAAAATTCATAATGTCTGAACAAACAATTAATATAACGCAATTACTTCATACATTTCAATTATTTGATAAAAATAAAGATGGTTGTATCAGTTCACTTGAGGTATGATATTTTCTAATGCATATATTTTACGCTTTTCTTTTCTTTTCTTTTTTTGTCAAGCTTCGATCAGCATGTCAACAATTACAAATGCCAATTGATGAAAAACGAATGAAAGATTTATTTGTAAATCGTGAACATATAACATTTGATGAATTTTGTCGTATAATGCAAGATTTTGGTCATCATGCACATGATGCTTATTTAAATGAAACATTTCGTGCATTTGATAGAAATTCTGATGGATTTATAACGGCAAAAGAAATAAAAAAAACTATGAAAAATCTTGGCGAACCATTAACTGATAAACAAGCAAAAGATATGCTTAAAACCGCAGATGCAAATGGTGATGGAAAATTATCTCTTGAAGAATTTCGTACTTTATTCAATCAAATTACTCAACATGCATCAACTCCACCAATATCCCCATCATCTTCATTACCAAATACTCCAAATAGAGGACGATTTTCAAATCCATTTCGACCACAAACTGAATAATTGTTAAATAAAACTATACTAACTTATAATATATATATAAATGTACTCTACCCAGGTTATTATTTATTTATCATTTGTGTAATTTTTTGTTTTGTTAAACATATATATGCGTAGAATATGAGTAAGATATGACTCAATATGTATATATATACGTATGTAATGACGAGGATATTAGAAAGACACTTTTAAAAAGCACAGTCAGTTATTTAAGACAATGAAAAAAACCGAGAGAGAGATGATGATACCATATACTAGTTTTAAGAAGAACATTTTCAATGCAAAATCAAAATGAATTTAGCTGAGCAAAAAACAAAACAATAGCACTGAAAAATATTCTGATGCTAAAGTGATAAAATACACGCACACAAACAAACACACACACATACAAACAGAAAAAGAATTTCAAAAAAGAAAAGAGAGAGAGAGACCAAGGCAACTCTATTGCACAAATAAACAGCATGACACATATAATGATTAACAGAGATCTTTATAACAAGAAGTAACAACAAATATATTCGCGTGCATAACATATAAAATGGAACAAAAAAACACATCTACGTCCTACTTTTTTTTAATATAAATGAGATGAAAAGAAAAAAGAAAAACTCGACAATAGTAGAACAACAGTAACTAAACACTTCTATAATTCTAGATTAATTAAATGAAAAAAGACAAATCAAAAAAAAAAAGAAGAAGCACTGTCCGTAATACGGCATTGATCGCTTCTTGATTATGCATAGCACCCATATATTCGTAGTAATTCAGTTCTACATATTTCATTGACAAGACATCTTGATTATTATTATGATTTTAATTTGAAGAACAAAACAAATATGTGCTAACCATCATCACCTAGAGAAGAAAAAAAGATAGATAAAAGAAATAAATAAATAATATTTACCTATGATTGTAGAACAACATCTGACTTGGAAGACGATGAAAAAGCACACACACGACAATAGTGTTTAGAAAATAGATCTGGATTTTTCGAGAATTATTAATAAACATACAATTGATGTGAATATGAGTAAGAAGAAAAAAAATAAGCGAGGAAGAAAGAAATATCTATGAAATACAAAAAAAATAAAATAAAATAAAAATTTTTGTTTTATTAAAATTAATAACATACATAGTGTCATTCAGATCGATTGATCTAAAATGGTTTTTTTCTCTGTTTCAAATCATCATCGATAATCTATGAAATAAATTTAATAAATAAATAATTTCTTTCCTGTTCTTTGTTTTACCTGTACAAAATGTGGACAAGAATGTTTGTGAGCAAAAATATTAATGGACAAGAAGAAGTTTTTGATGAAATATTTTTTAGCATAGCCTGAAGAAAATAAATTCAAAGAAAATTATTATTAAATACCTATAAACAAAATATTTTGTTTCTATCAAGAAAATTCAAATATAAGCAAATAAACTAGCATTATTCGGTTGAAAGAAAAATAAAACTAATTAAGCAATTATTATAAGCATGCTTAATTAAAAAAAAATACACACACACACACACGACACGTTCTTTCTTGAATAGTATAACTTTCATAAATATATATTTGTTTATATGTATATATATATATATGTATATATGATAAGGGGTGGAGGGAAGTTTTTTCGAATGAGTATAGGAATAAAATTAGTAATAATAATATTTATATACAGTACAACATAGAAATACAATAACATATGTATTTAAACTAAGTTGTATGTACGTTAAATGTAGCAAGAATAGAATATATATATATATGTATAATTGATAAATACAAAGATAAAATGTTACCTCTTTGTACTTTGATCATGTTCAAATACTGAAAATAAAGCTAGAAATAAAATCTTAAGTAATTTACAGATAACTTACGAAAACCATAACAATCAATTCGTGTAACAGGTTTATGAGGTTTACAAAAACGATCATCAACTCGTAATGATGATTGTCTATTTTTACAATAAATATGGCGTGTTTGTTCACCACGATTACAATCCGATGAACACTAAAAATAATTTCATAAAAGAAAATATATAAATAAGAAAATATATTTATATATTACTTTTGACCATGGTTCAACATGCCATACGTATGGACTTTCACAATCACCCATATTACACGATATGCGAGTAGTTGGTGCTCGATATTGATTACATTGCGTAGTATAATTATTTTTCAATAAATATCCATTATTATTTACTTCATGACATGATATACCACGATATTCATAACCTAATCCACATTGAGATGAACACTAGAAATGAAAATAAGAAAAATAATTCTATCATATAATTTATTTTGTTACATACTGATGACCATGCATTTGTTGCCCACATAGGTGTACATGCTATTTGAAAACATTGTTGAATAAGATTAGGTTTAGGTAAATGTCGGCAGAAACGATCATTTAGTGTTCGATTACGAAATATAGCTAAACATTGAATTGTTCGATTTTGTTCACCAACACCACATGGTACATTACACTAATCACAAGAAAAGAAAAAAAGTAAGTCTTATTATAATTTAGAATGTTTTTTTAAGAGGTATTTACCGGTGACCATAGACCAACTTCCCAACGACGACGTCGACCACGACGTCGTGTTACATTATATGGTTTTGGTACACATGGTTTGATGTTGCATGAACGACGTATTTGTGGTCGAATAGTATCATTACATAATTGATCATGAACTGTTTGTTCAATAGGATCTATAGTTGTAACACAACGAATAATATTATCCTCATGACCACCATTACACATAGCTGAACACTATAAATAATAAGAAAAGATTTTTTTCATTCTAAAATAAAAGTAAAGAGACAAAGAAAACATACAGGTGTCCATTGATCAGTTGGGCTCCATTTGTAACAAGATTGTTTTGTACATATTTCTTCTGATATAGGTCTTGTTAAATTTCGTCGTTTTTGTAAACAAAATCGATCAGCTACTTGTTGTCCGTTTAATTTTCGATGACATGTTACTTGACGAAATCTTTTGCCTGTACCACACTTGTTGTCGCACTGTTAGATATATATATAAAACCATAGGAATGTAGGAAAAAAGAGAAACTATTGCTGCACTTTTTTTTGAATATTGTGATAATAGTATATATATATATGCGTGTTATAGACATCGAACATATACAGATTATGACGAAAAGCACATATAGAATTAGTATTCTTCTCGCCGAAATCTGCTTAAGATAATAGTGATATAGAATATAAAAGATAGTATTCAAGAAAAAAAAAAAAGATCCGGACATATATACATATATATAAATATATCTAGATAGAAAGATATATATTGAGCCATATTGAACGTGTACGTGTGTCTGTGTATGTGCACATGCACACGCATAAATTAAAACAAAACAAAAAATCTTCATTGTCAACCTAATTATGCGTGCAGTACCCAAGCTGTTATCTATATATGTATATGATACTATTTAGTAAAAAAGAACCCCATAGATGAAAGCACATGCTATCTATACTAGCAGCACAACCAAAAGCTACATTATTAATTTTAGTAAGAATATTTACCTCAGACCAATTACTTGTTCGCCAATCTACACAAGTTCGACGGCATTCTCGTCTTGCAGTAGGCTTTGGTAAATGAGGTTCAGCTAATTCACATTCACTGGCGTTTATTTTACGTATAGGCATCTGACGAGCAAAACAATTAAGACCAAAACCAATTTCAATACCACGACCACATGTAACAGAACACTAAAAAATAAAAATTCTTTAGAATAAAAAAAAAGAAAGTTAAACAAAAAAAAGTCTTACGCCATTCCAATGAGCTACACGCCATTCTATACAAGCTGATATTGGACAAATTCGATTTGTTAATGGTTGAGGTTGATTTTGTGAACAATCCCACATCGGTAAAATTCGACCATTCATTGCATCAATACAACGAACTGTTCGTTTTTGTGTACAAGTTTGAAGATCACACTTTAATAAAATAAATAAAAGTATTATGTTGAAAAATTTCTTCTTCTTGAAAATAACAAACCTGTGCCCATTCACTTGGTATCCATGTGGCTGTTGCTGGTGATATATTATTATTATCTTTACCTGTACCCGTTCTACAAGGTATTGTATAACATTGCTTGGTTGTTTCAGGCCTATTAAGACCATTACATTTTTCTGGTGAAACCATTTCTTCTCGATTTTTACACATAACTAATCGATGTTGCATACCAGTACCACATGTAACCGGACACTAAAATAATTAAATAAAAACATTAAAAAAACAATGAATTTTGAAGAAAACAAAAATATATACCGGTGACCATGGATCAGTAAACCATGTAGGACATGGATTTAAATTACATATTTCTTGATCAACTGGTTTTCTTGGTAATTGCGCGCAATATTTATCATCATAAGACATTTTCGTTGAACTATCAACGCAATGAACTTGTCGTAAACGACGACCAATACCACATGTTGTACTACACTAAAAAATTTAAAAAAAAGAAAATAATAAATTCAATCTATTAAAATATTGAAATTTTCTAATTATTTACTTCTCCAAATTGTTTAACATCCCAAATATATGATGATGTACTTTCCGCTATTGATATTGCTCGAACATTCGAACAAGCTGTATTATTAGGCATATGACATGCTTGTAATTCTAGTGGTCTCAATGCTTCATCACAATGTATATTCGATATTGTTTCATGTCCTTGTCGACAAACAACTTGTCGATATTGCATTCCAGTTGAACATAATGGACCCGAACACTAATTAGAAAAAGAAAAAAAGATTTTTATCATATGTTTTTACCTATATATATATATTTATAACTTACTTCTGACCACATTCCAGTTGTCCATTGCGGACAATAAAGATCAACATGACATATTTCAGTTTTTAAGGGTACTTCACCAGATTGTGTACAATAATTATCATCAACTTCACGTTCATTATATGAACACCATACACGTCGATGTCGTTCAGCAGAACCACATTTTCCTGAACATTTACCCCATGGACTTAATTGCCAACTAGGGCAATTCGCAATTGAGCAATTTTGTCGATGAGCTGGTTTCGTTCTTTCTCCTAACATTGTTATACATTCACTATCTGGTATTCGTATCCAAGCTCGTGATGGATCATCACAATAAACACTACGTTGTTGAATACCTGTACCACATGTTGCTGAACACTATTCAAAATAAAAACGAATATTTTATTAAAAAAGAGAAGAATTCAAATTTATTTACATCATCCCATGGTCCTGTAGACCAACGTAATGTGGCACAAAGAGTACTACTTGATGCTGTACATGTTTGTTGTTCAATTGGCATTGGTTGTGGACATTTTGATTTATCCATTGCTCGACCATCTTGATTACATAGTACTGTACGTCGTTGAATACCTGTTCCACATGTAACTGAACACTAAAAAAAAAATAACAGAAATCATTAAATACGAAATTCTAATTTCTACTACATACCGATGACCATTCACTGAGTGACCAGGTTGTACAACTAACATTTGTTGAACACCATTCTTGTTGAACAGGTTTTGATCGTTGATCACAATAAGCATCTTGTACAGTTGAACCATGATGAGAACAAACAACATGACGACGACGAATACCTTTATGTGATGAACATGTAGCCGTACACTAAAATTAATATAAAAAATAGACCGCATCAATCAATAAAATTAACTTACTGATTGCCATGCATGTGTTTCCCAATGTGCAGCTGTAGAGCATTCATCATAACATGAAACTGTTTCATCAGGTTTTGGTTCATGTATACAATCTCGATCATTTACTGGTTTACCATGACGAACACATGTTACACTTCGTCGACGTCTTTTCAATGTACAATCACACTAAAAATAATCGAATTATTTATATATATTAATTATAAAAAAAAACAATGAATACATACATCAGACCATGAAGTATAATTCCATCGTGATTGATCACATGATGCGTCAGCACATCGTTCCGTATTAAAAATAAAATCTGGAACACAATAATGTGTTGGTATTGGTAAATCTGATGAATTTCGGCATTCAGCCGAGCGTTTACGAACACAACCATCATTATAATGACACTATTAATATTAAAATATAATTTAGGAAAAAAATATAAGAAATTATATATACTTCGCCCCAATTTCCATAAACCCAACCACTTCCTGTACAATCTCCAACACATGAAACAATATCTTTAGGTTTTTCCCCAACATATTTTCGACAAGTATCTTCATCCATTGATTCCATATTTCCTTTTGTATAACTAGTTTTTGTACACTCATATATTACACGTTTATATCCATCACCGCATCGAGTTGAACATGCTTGTTGAT